AAATATTGCAACTTAAGTGAGACATGAAAATTTAAGTCATTTACGCACAATGGATTATATAGTCAACATTGATCTTGAATTTTAGAACTGATGTAGATGATGAAATGAAATGATAAAATGAAATGATGTATCTTTTTCTAAAAACTAAATATTTAATGATCTTTTACAAAAAGATAGCTACACATTTTCTGGTTTAAGTACTGAAATAAATAATGAAATTGGACAAAAATTAACCATTTGCCAGCGATTTAACTATACCTGGTTTTCAGTAAAATATATAGAGAAAAAATAAAATTATCTTCACTTTTGGCACAGATCTGTACCTGAATATTGTGTTATTCGACTTTTTTTCCTTCTTGTACAAAAAAAAAAATTAAATTCTTTAAATTATACACTTTTAAAATTGGACGCCATGGTCTGTTCATAGTTAGTTCCTACTAGAAGTATTAGATGAAGCATTGTCCCCTTGAATAAAAATTTCCATCCTTTATTTAACAGTTGACATTCACAAAAAGCATGAAATTGCAATCTAGATGTCTAGCCAGTAAACATGTTCTAAATTATATCATTTTGACTTAAGAGTGAAAATTGGATATTCAAAATCTTAAAAATGTCCTTTCAACTCTTACTTAAACCAGACTTAAACCGTAGATACTTTCCACTGCGCTTTACAAGAATGTTTCTATTCAATCATCACTAATTTAAAAGTCATCAATTGCATTACATAATAATTATTCTGATTTATTTTTTTACCCTTTCTATACCCAACTTAACTTATCACCATTGATATGAAAGTCACTCAATATAAAACAAATTCACACACAGCCAAAATAAGAATCAATAAAAAAAAATTACAAAACTAATTTCATCTGTTCAAATGATATTTAACTCTCTATACTACTCTGTATAATGTTATGGAGACAAAATTGATTTGATAATTCAACATTTATAGATCTGGATGGGGTTTTGCGTTTAGGAGATCAATAAAATAGATTCAAACCTCTAGTTGTTTCTTTTTAGAAATTGACCGCTGTGGCTAGTAATTATTTGCTCATGTATATTCCTGAAAGAATCACTAGACTGGGAGAAATAAATATTTATTTGGACAAGTTCGTTTGGACGAATTAGATAATCGTTTGGACGAAATAGATATTCAGTCGTGCGAATTTGATATCCATTCAGACAAATTAGTTCTTCGTTTAGAAGAATTCAAGATTTGTTCAAACTGTTCTTGTGTATTCGCAAAGAATATTTCATCTTGACAGATTTACTCCCTTAGAATCATTACAGCTCTGACAGACTTAAGCCAATTCGACCCAATTATCTTTTTTTATTTACTCATCAGACCAAATTATTAATAGAAGGTTTTAGGTCCTCAATTTTGAATGTCCGCTATTTTGGAGATCCTACGTTGCCCATGTTGGTCCAAAGTTCATTTAGTAACATAAATGTAATAAAGTTTTCCTTTGCAAACGTAGCTAAAGCAAGTGCTCGAGAAGCACAGTCTCGAAAAGGAAAAAAGGCTATCTCAAAACCATCACACACATACCTTTGTCTTACAGTGTGCATAGCATCACTGTCTACATGTACCACTGCACTATATGAAGATGTTAAAAAGAATCTAATTATAAAAAAGGCATAATTTGACCTTGTCCATGACAATGACCCTGTCAGCAAATACAGTTCATCATTGAGTCAAATGCTGACTGACGTTTGTCATACTAATTGTCAGGCCAATATTTACACACTGAATTGTCGACGGATTTTTCCGTTATTTCCCGATCATGACAGGGAGCACACGGCGGGTGTGACCGGTTGGCAGGGGATGGTCACTCCTCCATGACACCTGATCCCACCTCTGATCTTTAGAGGTCCGTGTTTGCTCTGCTCCTATTTTGTATTGTTTAATGGACTTTTGAGCTTGAATACTGTTCGTTATCTCCGTACATTTCATTGCAAAATTATTTATTTAATTATTCATTTATTGTTTCGTTCGTTCCTCATATACCACAAGCACTTGAATTTGTAATTTATATAATATGGTCTGTTGTAGTGATAGCAAGAGGAAAAATAAAAATTGCTGCTTAATCCAACTCCAGTAAAGTATTATCTATATCTGCATAAGTCTTTGAATATTATGAAAGTACCTTTGTATATATACTACTTAAAACATCCTTATACATGTAAATGAATACTTTTTGCAAATAGTGATTTCTGAAAGGCTTGCAACAGAGTTGTTGCTTGCACCTTTAATTTTGCATCACTTATGAGATGACGTTTGTTAATTATGATAGACATTTACCTCATCAGAAGTGAATGTGAATTGAACTAAAAGCCTACATTCGATTTTGGTAATCTATTCAGAAATAGAGATAAAGTGGATATCAAGTTTTGGCGGATGTCACAGGGAGGATAAATAAATAAGCAATTGTTTATCGAAACGAATCATTAATTTATTTAAAATGTTTATTTTTCTAAAACATTCAGTGAAATGCAAAAATATACGGTTAAAAAATGTAAAAAGAAATCAGTTAACATCAATTTTCTCTTATAATAATAAATATTTAATCCATTTTCTGAAGTGGCTGGAAAATCCCAAGAAAAGTGAAATAAAATTTACACGTCCATGATAGACGTTTTCCCTCGGAATATGACGCGGATGAATGAAATATATTAATTTTGCTCTTCTATAACGTTTCCATACAATTACTTTGGTATTCCGAACATTAAATTGTAGCCGGATTTCTAACGGAATGATATACATAAATACCAGCCGGTTTCAATGTACTACTTTTTAGTTTCTTTTACTATAAGCTCAACAGCATGTCTATAACTTCATCTTATTTGGAAAGCTTTAGATACCACGGTAAGGCGAGCATTTTTTGGAGAGAGAGATAATGGCCTAGCTTTCAGATATTCCGTCAAAGCATCTGTTTAAAGGGACGATATAACTGGCAAGCAAAATAACTGACAAGCAAAAAATAATTAATATCTATAGTAACTAGTTGCTATCATAAAACAATAAAACCAACACGTAAGTGATTGACTCTAGTGTGTGAAATATATGGAGATAACGAACAGTATTCAAGCTTAAAAGTCCATCAAACAATTCAAATTTTGGAGCAGAGCAAACACGGACAACTTAAACATCAGAGGTGGGATCAGGTGCCATGGAGGAGTGAGCATCCCCTGCACACTGGTCACACCCGCCGTGTGCTCCTTGTCATGATCGGGAAATAAGGGAAAAATAAATCCGTCGACAATAAAGGGCTAACAATTAGTATGAAAAACGTCAGGCAGCATTTGACTTAATGATAAATTGTATTTGCTGACAAGGTCATTGTATCGACCATAGTACTTACGAAATGACGATTTTAAACGAGACTGCTGAAATTCTTGTTTCATCAAGTTGTTTGTCAATAAATTGTTCATACGTAGAGCATGCTATTGCGTATCGAATCAACTAAGAGATATAAACTCCGTTTGCAGGTGATGAAGGTATATTGCTGCATAAGTAAGGGAAGTTGAGGTTTGAAAAGTTAAAGTCATCATGTTTATCATAAAACATGGTTGTTAGATTATCATGAACGTCTTTTTCGTGTAAAATATCCAAATATGAAACAGAAAAAGGGAAAGCTCTGTCATTCAGTGCCCTTTCCAAACCTTTCAATGACCTTTCAATTGACTGAATGGTGCAGGTTCATCTTTTGTCCCCAAGGTAAAAATCGAAATTTCGTAACCTAAATTCACTTTTACAATACACTCCTAGATTTATTCCAAAATATGATTGGGCTACTGTGAAAAATATAAGAGGAGTAAGAGGAGTTCAGAGAATCAGATTTTAGATTTTAAAAAAAATGACCCCCATTTGGCTTCTTGGTGAAAATCAAAGTCCTTAAAACGTATTGCATATCTACAGGACAACAACAATCACCATCCAAAAGATGATTTGGCTACTGCAAAAATATACAAATGGGCTACTTTGAAAAGTGTAATAGGGAACTCAATGAACCAGGTGTTTAGGAAAAACAACTTTTTTTTAAACCACCCACTCACCCCAAGATGAAAATCTAAATTCCCAAACCTTATGCACATCTTCAAGACACACTCAATCATATGCAAAAATATGAATGGACTACCGCTAAAAATGTAAGAAGCATGTAGAGAATCAGGTTTTTGTAGAAAAACACAGGGTTTTTAACCCACCCGAATATGCATATATTAAGTATTCTCAACAGTTTTTATAGTAATTCTTTTTATTTAAAATTTGTTGCTATGACTAAGCTTCTCTCAATCATCATCTCCCTCTCTGTTTCTCAGTGGCACATCCATAACATGTTATAGAAACACTTTCAGTGCATTTTTTTTTTTTGCATTCCCTCAGGTTAATTTACCTGCATTCCTTCAAGCAGCTAAACACGCATCCATGTATTTTGATGATCATTTAAAAATAAGTCTTTAACATAGGCAATCAGTATTTACTGTTATGGTAGTGAAGGATAAAATCTTCCCTCCTCCTACATAGCCTAATTAGATTGTTTTCTCCAGCAAAAAATATAAATGTTGTTTCAAATACACTATACATAAATACCTGCTGCATTAATATTTCACGCTCCATCTACCTTATACCCAATACCCTCATAACCATTGACGAAAAAATACCAATTACCGACATACATGACGATACATTCCCGAGCTTTACATAAGTGCGTTGTCCTTTACGATTGGGTTTTAATTCTATTTTGATGTGAAATCTACATCAGGTATGATGTATTTTAATTATATATATATATTTATATTATATTTTAATTTAAAAATACAAATCGTATTAAAATGAATTACAACATTCAGATGTATATTAGAATTAAGGGATTTTTAAGCAATATGGGGTTTCTTTTTCTTAACAAAGGAAGTCAAAATAAGAAATAAAATCTTGCTTTCTTTCATGTTCAAATTTCAATTCATCATATTTATCTAAGTAATACGAATCCCTTTCAGAATGAAGATTTTCCTCTATCACAAAATCATTTGAATGCGATTGTAATTTGCGGCGTTATATTAAGTGTAGTAATTCTGTATTCAGAGCTAACCCCTGAAATGAACTTGTACAGATTAGTGATCCAAACTGTGAACAGAGAATCACCACCTCTAAGGAAATATCACACATACTGGGTTGATATGGAGCCTTACATTACCAACAATTTGAAGCTCTATAATAGCTCTAGATGCAGCGTCCCGAATTGCATCTTGGCGAATAATATTTCCAATGCAGATATTGTTGTGTTCAGCCACCGACACATTCCAAGAAGTACTTTAAATAAAACAAAAGGTCAAATTTGGATTTTTTATTCCGCTGAAAGTCCATATCACACACACAGACCAAAGAATGGATGGACCGTTTTGATTTGTCAATGTCTTATATGGACGATTCAGATATCCATGTGCCAATGTATGGAAAATTTCAAAAACGACAAAAAATTCTGAAGAGAAACTACAGTGGTATATTAATCAATAAAACAAAAGACGCAGTCTGGGTCTCAAGCCAATGTGTTACCCCTTCAAGGAGAGAAAACTTGGTCAAAGACCTTAGTAAATACTTAACAGTTGATACTTATGGCGGATGTGGTACTAAGAAATGTGGTGGTCAATATGATAGACTACCCAAGTGTCAATCCTTGTTTGAAACACATTACCGTATATACTCGCCTATAAGTCGGTCCGCCTATAAGTCGGTTAGATTTTTTCAGGTTATTTTTTAGGGATTTGCCATTGACCCGCTTATAAGTCGGTAGAATTTTTAGCCTGAATCGGTTGACAATTTCAAATTAATGCTCTAATGTTTAGCCAGTGTTTCAAATAATATTTTGAGAAATGATGCTGATATTTAATTTTTTTCTTAGCAAATCAATTTCATATTAATATTCTAATATATTTACCTGCGTTCAAATAATATTTTTGGATATGGCATCGTTAGTTAACCTTTATTTTTTAACAAATTATTAGTAACCGTTGAAAACGTTTGAGAAATACTACATTTCGCGGTCCAGGAAAATACTCACTTTTGATGACTCGCCTATAAGTCGGACATAGAGTTTTGAACAAAAATTCAACTCCCAAAATACCGACTTATAGGCGAGTATATACGGTACAAATTCTATTTTTCTTTCGAAAATTCAATCTGTAAACAGTATACAACGGAAAAATTACGTAATCTTTTCAGCTACAGCGCTACACTAATTCCTGTCATCAATGGACCAAACGATGCATCTCGATATATCCCGAAAGGAACGTATATTAATAGTCAGGATTTTGCTAATGCTAGTTCACTAGCAACAGAATTAAAAAGGATCGGTTCAAATGAAGCAGAGTATATTCGTTATTTGACGGAAAAAGACAAGTACACATGCCAAACAGTCGACAAAATAGTACCTAGTGCACAATGTACCTTATGTAAATATCTAGTGGATATAGAAAAGGGGAAAAAGACAAGAAAAAACAATTCATGGTTTAAAATTTTGGACCCGAAAGTATTTTGTACAGTTCCAAAATACTAAAAATTTTTCATAAAGTATTAAGAACATATACACCATTCTTTTGTTCTAAGAATCCATTCTAAAACTAAGGAGAGAGAGAGAGGGAGAATAAGGGTAGAGTTATACCCTTTGTATTGATATTCTAAATTCTTTTTACCTAATATTATATGCAAGGATCTCTAAATTAACCATCTTTCTTCGGTTATTTTCACTTTTAAAATCTGTATATCCTTACACTGATAAACACTTTTTCGCTGGCCAAACCAGAAAACCTTGCTTCTCACCTTCATATTAATTTTCCTAAGTGATACTTGAAATCAAAATTCTTATTCTCCAAAGAGGAAAGAATTCCCAATAAGCATGTGTTAAAGCAAAATAATTATTTTTATAAAACTAGAAAAATCTTGGATTGGAGAATTTCATATTTTGTTGAATATTTGGTACTTGGATGTTCACCAAAATTCATATTTTGCATTAATGTGTCTTCCTGTTGCAGCATTCAACAGTACAAGAAAAAAATAAATTTAACTTTACCCCCATAAATCTTGATTCGGTAGCTTGATTTTATTTATCTGTCTCTTTGTCATGGTTGATAAAGTTCGGTCAGATTGGATCCTTCTTTCACTGTCCGTTCTAGATAGATGAACAAGGACCTATCATCTCAATCTGTGGAGAGTGAAATTGAACAATGAATGTATAAACTGATACAGCAGGAAAAGAATTTAAAAAAAAACGCAAGGATTTCTAACAGCTATCTCTGATAAAGCACAATTAAACTTGTTATTGTTACTCATCCGAAAACTGCTTAATTTTTGATTGAAGTCCCTTCAAGAATCTCTCACTCGTGATGGGAAAACACTCATTTCAGTGTAAGGCTGCAAATTTTAATATGTACTCGCCACTTATGGCTAGATATATGAAACCTCTGCTTTTAGTTATTCAAAAAGATTCTTCTATATACTGCATGTGAAAGGAACAGGCAACCCTTATTTTCTTTCTGAATATTTTTCCATTCTCTGTTAAACCCTAAGACTTTTATGCATGTTAAGAACGGCAACCTTATCCTTGAAATTGAAATTTTAAGGATAAAGGGCATGGTCATTTGACCATTTCTCAACATTTCTATTTGTTCAAATTTTAAAGCCATTTTGATTCTTTTGAATGAGAAATAAAGACCACTCATTGCTTTTGTTGAACAGTAAATTTACTTATAATTTTTCCGTGATACTTTGACTTGAAAATCATTGGATTAATTTATTTCCATAATACAATTTCCACCAAATATCTCAGCAAGTGACTCTGTGTCTGTTTACTTTGCCATTAGAAAGTTCTTGTCGCTTGCACATTTTTTGCTTCCATTTGAATTCGTTGAATTACGAAACACAGAACATGCATCGATATTTTTGAATAATTAAGATGAAGTCCTTATTTTACGCGAGTACTTAATATCGCGAAATGGCCAAAGGGCGTCAAATCGCGAGAACAATAATTTGCGAAGGGGTGATTTATCTAGAGATTTTACATACATTAAAGCACCATAAAAATAAAAGCGAGTAATTTAATTTCGCGAGCGGTGCTTCTCGCGTAATTACGCGATAATTAATTCTTCGCGTATATTTAGGAATCTACAGTAATCCAGCAAGAAAGTACCAAACACCCTTCATCAGAGTTACTTACACATTAGTATTTTGCTTTCGTGGTTCAAATTGAAAACAACAAAACGTTGGACTTCCTGCAATTTGACTCCTGATGACGACCTGAAATAGGGTTCCTGACCGTTGACTTTTACAATGGGTAAATATCAAAGCTAAGATCATCTAAATTTTGAAAAGTTTTTGTTTTCATGCGTTTCACTTTTCAACGTGCATTTTAGGGTCATTGCATCTTTGGTTTGCTCTTGTGAAACTGGTGTAAATTTTTCATCGTGACTGCCTTCTCTGGCCCTTTTTTGGTCTTTGGCCTTTGCATGATCAAACTTTTATTGTTTCAACTCCCAAGAAGAACTTGATTTAGTTTACATTGGCCTTTCAAACCTTTGTTTCTTCACACTATCTTAATTTATTCTAGCAAATGTCTTTTTAGACATATTTTTTCATAACTACTCAATGACTGAGGTTAAACTACAGCAAATGCGTAGTATTAGATTGATTGTCTTATTATTCATTATTGAATTATTTTCTTGAAACCTGTTTTATATAAGCTAAGTAAACTGCTCTAAGTAAATTTCTTGTTAAAAACAGTCGTGTTCCATTGAAGGTTCTCTTTCATCAAAGAATTTACGGAATAAGTCAAAACTTTGAACTTATACACAGTGATACACTTGCTTGGATGAGAGTAAATAAAATCAAGAACCCAAAGAAGCCATTATGTGTATTAAAAACCAATAATTACTCACATTACTTTGATCTAGCCCTATAAAGATACGCATTTAGATATACACTTTGAAAAGTTATGTAAATGAACGTTATTTTTAAAAAGTCATATTTGCAATCAAATGTCCAATAAAAAGCAATTCCCTCTCTGCAATGGAGTGTTCAATGATCACGGTCACTTTAACATGAAAATTCTTTTTAATACAAATAACCTCGAATCATTTTGACCTTTTTTTCGTACATCTAAAACATGAAGGAAAATCTCAAACCTCATAGTCCTTCTGTAAACGCTCATGAAATTGTGCCTAGTGGTTTTCCATTTAAAATAATTTTAATTATCATTTAAACAATTATCTAAAAAGACCTTTTAATAGTATACTTTCAAAGTTAAAAGTACTGTTCTTTTTGTTTTGGTCTGGTGATTATTACTAAAAACTGTAGTGAAACACCAGCTTATTTTACATAATTAACATACAAACTTCTATTAAAATTTCATCAATGCATTAGCTCATTATTAAAAATGTATAAAAAGGCAGATGCTCTACTAAGCCCCTATCTTTACCCCTCACAAAAATATCAATTGCTGCAAAGGAAAATTCTTCGACGTACACTCTTCAGTACTACAACATATTCTAGAAGTGTTGTGATTATGATGTGGATTTCCAACAACTCCAAAAATTTGCTTTTAGTAAATTCAAAATCACCAAAATTTTCAAAAGTCAGTGACATTAAAACGTACTACTTTTATACACCTGTACATCTATTTCTTGCGATAAATTAAGAACTAGGCTTTTGATGTTATGAACAACTGTTTCTTCAATGATTGGTAAACAACAAAATTACTTTGTTAAAAGTCACTTTGGTTTTACATACAAGTACTCTGAAGTTGACATTTTAAACTTGATATTTTAATAGGATGTTGGAGTTCCTCATCGACAAGATCGGAGACCAGGTCTTCAAACAAAATTTTGGAATTCCGATGGGCACTAATTGTCCTCTTTTATTAGCTGATCTGTTTTTATATTCCTATGAAGCAGATTATTTTCGAAAACATCTACATGAGAGGAAGAAAACACTTGCTGTGGCCCCGACATTCAGATATATTGACGGTTTATCTAATAACAATAGTTACTTCCATTCATATGTCAAAGCGATGTATTTTAGTGAACTCAAAATAAAGGATATCCAATGTGTCTGCACATCTGTTTTGTATTTAAATCTTTTACTGACTATATATGATAAGTGCCAGCTAACAACTAAATTGTGTAACTTCATCTTTTCCATCGTCAACTTTATTTATGTTGTAATATACTTTTATCATTTGCATGAAATATATGGAGATAACGAACAGCATTCAAGCTCAAAAGTCCATTTAACATTACAAAATAGGTGCAGAGCAAACACGGCCCTTCAAAACATCAGGTGGGATCAGGTGCCATGGAAGAGTGAGCATCCTTTGCCGACAGGTCACACCCGCCGTGTGCTCCTTGTCATGATCGGGAAATAACGGAAAATCCGTCGACAATTCATTGTGTAAATAATGGCCTAACAATTAGTATGAAAAAGGTCAGTCAGCATTTGACTCAATGATAAATTGTATTTGCTGACAAGGTTATTGTATCGACCATATAACTTACGAAATAATGACTTTAAACGAGACTGCTGATATTCTTGTTCCATCAACTTGTTTGTCAATAATTTACCTCGTTTTAGAATTAATACGTAGAACATACTCTTGCGTATCGAATCAACTGAGAGATATAAACAACGTATGCAGGTGATGAAGGTATATTGCTGCATTAGTAAGGGAAGTTGACAATTGAAAAGTTAAAGTCATCACGTTTATCATAAAGCTTGGTTGTTAGATTACCATTAACGTCTTTTTCAAGTAAAATATCCAAAAGTGAAACAGATGTGTCAGACTTTGTAGTATCTTTTATCTCAAGCTCACCTGGATATATCGTATCGACATAAGAATGGAAATAACAATTGTTAATTGACAATTCGTCGTCGATACATCTAAATGTTGAGTTGAAGGCCACAGCAAGTGTTTTCTTCTTTTCACGTATAAAATTTTGGACAAAATCTGCTTCATATGAAAAAAAAGGTCTGCTAATAACGGGGCACAATTGGTACCCATGGGAATTCCAATAGATTGTTGGAAGACCTGGTCTCCAAAAACCTCATAGATATTGTCAATCAGAAACTCAAGCATCTTTTTTAATGTCAACTTCAGAGTACTTGTGTGTACAATCAGGATGTTTTTTAACAAAATAATTTTGCAAATGACCAATGACAAGGTAAGTTCGCAGTACAGTTAAGGCTACACATGAAGATAATATGGTAATGAGGTCATAATGAGGTTTGACGTCATGACAGTTGCTCCGCCCTGATAGATCTATATAAGGAAATAGAGCTCAAAAAAGTCATTTAATGATGATTGCGAGAATTTGTAATGAATGTCTGTATTTTCATGTTTAAATAAATAAAAATTAGTGATTTTCTTTTATATAAAAACACAAAGTCTTCGAAATAATTCTCTTTTTTTGGTGTCGTTTGGCTGCATTCGGCTTCAGCCAAGCGCTTGCACTCGGTGACACGGAATGTTGTTTACATCTAAAACGTGGCGACAGGAGCTGAGATATGCGGTGGATAAATGCAACAAGCA